CTAGTTCTAGCCTTTTCTGTATGTGGTACTGAGGAATTGAACACAGGGCTTCATGCATGCTAGGTAAGCACTCTACCACCAAGCCACATTCCCAGCCCCCAAATACTCTTTAAACATCAAAAGAAACTATGGTAAAATGTTTTATGAGTTAAGAAATCCACAACAAAATACATGGTTAGGAAAGGGTTAGTTATATCAGAGAAAGGAAACGTCAAATGACATGTATACAATTATTTCTTATTATACATCCATATGTAATTATTATTTTTATTCTATGTTCATCACTGTGCCATTTCTTTGCAAAGAAAAATATAGGGTGGTAATTTCAATGATGTGAATACCACACAAGCACAACATTTCCCTCCCTCCACCCCAGGCATCAAAGATGGGAGAATTTCACCTCAACCAAAACAAGCATTATTAGAAAACAAAATGAAAGTACAAATTCTTTTAGACACAAAATCCTATCTATCTATCTATCTATCTATCTATCTATCTATCTATCTATCTATCTATCTATCTATCTATCTATCTCAAACCTTATGAGGACCAAAAAAGACATAATTACTTTGATAAAACTATGAAATCATGGCTAAAAAGTCATTTTTGAATTTTATCACTAATTTGAAAAGTACATCTACAGGAAGTAACAGGATTTTTAAATATGTGGGCAGGGAATATGGTTCTAGAGGTCAAACCCAGGGTTTCATGCATGGTAAGGCAAGTGCTCTACTACTGAGCTGCATCTCAGGTCCAAAGTCTTAAAAATATTTTGTAACAGCTGCTCATACCCAGTATCATGACTGTAAGAAAAATATTCTGTACATTATTCTTTATATTAACAGTGACTTAGCCACAGTCCAGCACAGTTAAATTTCTAGAATTGTACAACCCTATGTCTGAACCTCAATTTCCAAACTCATGTGTAAATTCATCTGTAGTGGGAAAAATCTACTCATCATGTCTATCTATCAGGACTACATGAATTTATGCATGTGAAGTGCTTCAGTAAATGAAAACCAAAGTAGTCAGCTGCTCCATCAAAATAAGCTAAAATAACTATTAGAAACAAAAATGTGGGTGGTGCCTGTGGTTCACATCTGTAATCCTATCTATTCAGAAAGCTGAGATCTGAGTATCCTGTTTTGAAGCCAGCCCAGGCAAGAAGGTTTATGAGACTGTTTCTTATCTCCATTGAACTTCCAAAAAAGCTATAAGTAGAGATGTGGCTAACTGGTAGAATGCTAACCTTGAGCAGAAAATCTCAAGGACAGCTCTGAGGCGGTTGGAGCACTCCTGGGCTTGAGCCCAAGGAATGGCACAAAAAAAAAAAGAGGTAGGGTTATTGAGTACTTTAATTCTCAATATAGTACTATATATAACTGTTTTCTAATTTATTAGTAAGAATTATGGAACATCAGGCCAAAAAAATAGTTTAAATGCATGTAAAAACAACTCTCATTTTCCATCCTTGGAGAGATCACATTTCTATGCTAATTTTCTTATACATCTGGACTATTCTGACATTTCTCATTCCAGAGAGTAGAAAGTGGTATCTCATTGTGCTAATTGCTTGATGAGCATTTCCTTAATCACTAATGATACTGAGCATCTTTTCCCATGCTTACTGGACACTTAAAATATCTTTTTGGGAAAATGTCAAGTCCTATTCCCACTTGTTTGTTTTTTGAAGCAATATCTCTCTACGGAGTTCCATGTTGCTGTGTAACTCATCATTCTCCTACCTCAGCTGCCAAGTGCTGGCGTTACAGGTGAGCACCATCATGTCTGGCTCCTCCACCCCTTTCTTTCTTTCTTCCTTCCTTTTTTCTTTCTTTCCTTCCCTCCCTTCCTCCTTCCCTCCCTTCCTTCATTCTCTCCCTTCTCTCTCTTCCTTTCCTTCTTTCTTCCTTCCTTTCCTTCCTTCCTTCCTCCTTCCTTTCTCTTTCTTTCTTTCTTCCTTTTATCCTTCCTTGCTTTTCTTTCTTTCTTTCTTTCTCTCTCTCTCTCTCTTTCTTTCTTTCTTTTTCTTTCTTTCTGTTTGTTCTGGTCCTAAGGCTTGAACTCGCGGCCTGGGCATTACACCCAAGACTTCATGCATGCTAAATGCATGGTCTACCACTGACCTGTATATCTCCTGCCCCATATTCCTATACATTCTTCACAATTTTATTATAAACAGAACTGCTCTTGTTTTGTGTATTCTGTAGATGTATATGTTATATTGCATAGTATTAAGTATATTAAGTAGTATTAAGTATTTGTGCATCATTCTTTTTCACCACTGCTGTGGTATAAACATATGTTGAAATCATAACAGGTACAAGAAGCACATACCTGTAGGAAAGCTACCACCTTGTGGGAGAAGAAGAAGAGCAGAATGAGATGAAATAAAGAGAAAACTGACGTCTATGTATCTATATTGGATGTACTGGGTTTTGAACAAAGGGTTTTAAGCACTCTAGACGGCACTCTACTACTAAGCCATGCCTCCAGCTCTGTCTTTTGTTTTGAGATAGGGAATCAATTCCTGTCTAAGAATATGCTTGCCTTTTTTAGGCATCCTATCATTTCCAAGATGATAGGCATGTGCCACCATGTGCCGCTTCCCTCTGAGAGATGGAGTCTTGTGGACTTTTCTGCTCAAGTTGACCTAGAACTGCAACCCTCCCAATCTCTGCCACTCACATGAATTACGATGATAGACATGAGCCATGGTGCCCAAAAAGAGTTGGGAAAAAGGTCTTGAAAACTTCTACTTGACTTTAAACTAGGAGCCACTTGATCACAACATCCCAAATAGCTAGAATTACACCTGGCTATTTATTATTTCATTTTTTTAACAGTAGAACTGTTCAGAAGATCTGCACATTTGCTATACTTTCCTCATTTAAATTTTCTCATATTTTAAAACATCTAATATATTTTTAAGTGGTTTACTGTGCTTATATTATCTCTGGAGTCATTACTCCATATCTAGACTGTCATTCTAAGATTGTTTTTGTTTTTTTTTTTTTTGGTCCAGTTGTGGGGCCTGAACTCTGGGCCTGGCCGCTGTCCCTCAGCTCTTCAGCTCAAGGCTAGAGCTCTACCACTTGAGCCACAGCACCACTTCCAGCTTTTTTCTTTTTGCTTATATGGTGCTGAGGAATCGAACCCAGGGCCTCATGCATGCAAGGCAAGCACTCTACCACTGAGCCACCTTCCCAGCCCTCTAAGATAATTTTTTTCCTTGATGTGTTAGTGGGTATTCTAGAAAATGAAGTAAACAATCACAGATTTCCCTTGATGATGAAAACAAAGAGTAACAATATAAATATTCTCATACTACAGTGCCTTTACTTATCCCAGAGCACTCAGTCTGCTGGATGGGAAACATGCCCAGGAAAAAAAGACTTCAGTACCTAGAGCATATGCTCTGCACAGGTATGGCTGCTAAGTCAGTATGTGCAAGAAATAGTATTTGGTACCATGTATCAGGGTGGATATTTTCTGGAGAAATTTAAATATACTAATTTCAAATTCAATGAAGCAGGAGATAATTTTATAGGAAAAAACTCAGGAGACACAGGCTTGAGCAGTCAGGCCATGGAATTGAAGACAGGTACAAAGAAGTTATAGCTCTACCATATGATCTGAGCAGTTGTCTAAGGCAAAGTGCTGCTTTAAAAAAACAATCATTGTCTTAGATTACAGATCTCAGAAAGGCCTCAGTGGTGAGTCTATATGGAACTGAAAATTTGCTGAAATCTACATTTTTGTAAAGTTAACCTACCCTAGAAAGACACTCCACCGTGATGGTAATATTTGCCATTCAATTTATATCAGTTCCTGTTTAACCTGATAGATGGTGAGTGCCCACTTGTGAAATATATCACAGAGTCAGAAGAAATGTGAAGGATCACAAAAGATTTCCTACTATTTAACTACATCATAGCTACCAATCTTGAGAACTTATTGAAATATCTTTCAATAAACAAGGCATTTTGCAATAAACAAGGTATTTTGGCATATAAAATTAATCAAAGTATCAAGAAAATCAAGGAAAAGTACTCAATTAGTAAACTGATCTTACTTATTTGTAAGTCTGACTACTACACAAGGATATCAGCTTCTCTAGGGCAACAGCCCAGGCCTTATCTGGCATAATAGGCAAGCAGTAAGTATCTACTGAATTAATGGAGCCTCATTAATTTCCAATTGGTAATATTTTCTTACTAAGAACAAAGAAGTACCACACCCATCAAGCCACATCAGTTTTTGAAGTAAAGTCGTATTATTTTGACTTTCAAATACTGTTTAATATTCTGATTAAAAAGTCATTTGTATCTGTAACACAAAACGATATTTTGGTGGAAGCAGGAAAAGAAAAGGGCTAAGTAAACACATGCTCATTCTATTAACTATTTAGCGGTTTCCTTGAGGTTGGGCTAACATACAAAAATCATATAAAGTAAAATAACAACACACTATGATATGATTTCCAATCATAGATTTTAAACATCATTTGTACTATTATACAAACACCAAAATCTTACTGAACATTATTCATTGTAGACTAGAATTTAAACAAGTGTAGTCCAAGGGCACAAGTGTTAAATTCTTTAAACAAACAAAATGTCTCAAAATGTAAACTTAACCTCAAGAACAGTATACAACATGAAATGTGAAGATAATGGTCACCGACAGGTGACAGCTATTATACATTTGAAATTATAACTAAAGATGTTCTCCACAGCAAGGGCAAAAATTAAAAAAACTTTTCAATAAACGTGAAACAAAAATTAGTATCAGGAAGTGGATTTAGAATGTGGCTAAATGTAGGAATGTGCTTCCTAATTAGTATAAGAGAACAAAAAGTTAATTTACATTCAAATTCTTTAAAAAAGAGGAAAATACAGTGGAAAACTGTAAATTTAAACCATCACTGAATAAGTTAGAAATGGTGTTAAGTATTGGAAGATAACTTCAACATAATCAAGAAAAGAAATAAAACTCACACAGAATGTTGACCCGCTGTTGGATGCTAGAGCAGCATGTTGCTCATCACGCAGTTTTATACAAAGCTCCCATGTATCGATATCAGATTTCACAACTGGCACTCTGAAGTAGAAAAAAGTAAAATAGTTAAGAATTTTTATTTTTATTTTTTATTTTTTTTGGGGGTCCGGTTGTGAGGCCTGAACTCTGGGCCTGGGCGCTGTCCCTCAGCTCTTCTGCTCAAGGCTAGCGCTCTACCACTTGAGCCACAGAGCCACTTCTGGCTTTTTTTTTTCTTTTTGCTTATGTGGCGCTGAGGAATCGAACCCAGGGCCTCAGGCATGCAAGGCAAGTGCTCTACCACTGAGCCACCTTCCCAGCCCTAAAATAGTTAAGAATTTTATACTAGTTGCGATAAACTAATTTTCTTTTCATATTAAGTGTGTAGAATAAACCTGCCAAAGAGTGTATTTCAGAACATTTCATTTTAAAACATTCTACTGTTGGGGATGGGATGTGTCAGGGGGAGAAGTTTTCAGATTTAAACAGGTCCAACCAAGGACCATAGCAGCCACTGTGGGAAAATCACAGCACATCATATCCTCTAAGAACCCTCATCCATCCATGAGGAATTTCAGTTGCTTAATTGTGACAATCCTTCACAAGTTAATCTCCTTTAAACAACAGTAAATTTTTCAATATTTGCTATTATTCAAGGCAATTTCTTAAAAAAAAAAGAAAATTTACAATAAAATAAAGAACCATGCATGTACTTTAAACTTCAAAGAAATACAATAAATTACTAAGTCAGTATGGCTTGGTATACGGAATTAATTTGGTTTCATTTCATTCTTTTTTTTTTCTTTTCTTTTTTTTTGTCAGCCATGGGGCTTGAACTCAGGGTCTAGGTGCTATCCCTGAGCAATTTTTGTTCAGGCTTGCACTCTACCAACTTTGAGCCACAGTGCCACGTCCGGTTTTCTGGTGGCTAAATGGAGATAACAGTCTCAGGAACTTTCCTGCCCCAGCTGGCTTTGAACCACAATCCTAAGACCTCAGCCTCCTGAGTAGGTATGATTACAGGCATGAGCCACCAGCACCCAGCTTTCATGTTATTCTTTTTAGAGACTGTAATCACATTTTAAAAATGTGCCTCTATACATTATTCTACTTGTAAAATAATAAAGAATGTTCTTTAGTGGTGTCAATTAGAAAAAAATTATAAAGATTATAAAAACAAGTTGCAACTTCAACAAATACTAAGTGGTTAGCACTAAGTTATAAAGCACCAAAGAGAAATAAAACATGGTCTGTGTCCTTTCTAATGCTGGTTTTATTAAACACCTAAAATCTAAAAAAGGCTTCCAGATCTCTGAACAATGCTAGTCTTACCACTTAAGTCATTTGCTATGTATGGTTAGTGTTACAAACTCCACAAAAACTGGGTCAAAGTAGCCAGAAGAGAGTACAAAGAAACCCCAAAGCCAAAAACAAAAATTTTAGAAAACAAATGTGGCCCCCATCATTTTTTTTGCAAATTCTTTATTGTGATAACGTGATTACATAATTTTATAGTATTGTGGGATAGTGATGCTTAGTTAAAGTCACAAACACATTCTAACCTTCATGGGGCAAATTGTCTATCATGGTCTATAAAGTTTATGAGTTCTATGGGCTTTGACTATACAGTTGTTTTGAGTTGCTTAGTTCATTTTGATCAATGTCCAATGCAGCTGATGGGTCCCGCTGTTGTATGTTTTTCCCTGATTCCCTCTAGTTCTGTGTCCTCCTCCTAGTTTCCCTCTGGTATGCACATAAATACCATATATGTGATCAGCAGCATGGGGTTATTTAGTAGTGATTCAACCAGATGAGTGGAGGTCTTTTGTTTCTCAAGTCTTATTAACTTACGTTTTAGATTGAACATCCACTTATCAGGGAGACCATGTGCTGTTTGTCCATTTACTCTTGGCTTACCTCACTCAATGTGATTTCTTCTAGTTCCATCCATTTCCCTTCAAATGCCATTATTTTGTCCTTTCTAATGCTGCATAATATTCCATTGTGTATAGATACCACAAATTTTGGGTCTATTCATCTGTGGTGGGCTCCCATCATTTTTAAAGAAATCAGATGTAATGATTTCAGAATTAAGCTAATTTAAATGTTATTTACAATATTTATACCCATTATTATTTACCAAGCACTAAATATTAGCACTTGGCAGAATATATGTTAAATCTTTAACAAGCTAGCTGTCATTCAAGTTCTCCAAAAAAAAAAAAAGCCCCACTTGGGATCCAATTTTATTTCTGATTATTCTCTTAAAAGGCCAGCCCCTTGGCCTGGTGCTAGTGGCTCATATGAGTAATCCTAGCTACTCAGGAAGCTAAGATCTGAGGATCAAAGTTTGCAACCAGCTGGGCAAGAAAGTCTGTGAGACTTTTATCTTTAATTAACCACCAAAAACCCCATAAAAACAAACAAACAAACAAAAAAACTAGAAGTAACTGTGGCTCAAGTGGTAGATCTCAGGCCTTAAGCAAAAATAAATAAATAAATAAATACATAATAAAAACCACCTCTAGAACAAGCCCTGAGTTCAAGACCAGAGACCAGCACACACACAAAATCAAGGCCAGTCCCTTTTAAACCAAATTTATAGACAGTGAGGACAAAACACCCAGGTTCTGCCAACCCACAGAAGTTGGTTCAAAACAACTTCTGCCATCATACCAGATCTTTCCACTGAGCCAATTTTCTTCTATATCAAACTATGCACATAGTAACTAGAATAAGAAAGACATATTGAAGATTACATTAAATAATGGAGAGGCTAACTTTAATCCACTTATTTCCCTCCGTTACTGAAAATGCTGCCTTTACAGTAGCTTTGGACTCTCTCCATTGCTTCTCAGATTCTTCAGGGAGGATGTCACCTCTCACAGGAACTGTCTTCTCCTTCACCTGCACTAAATGCTGTGGTTATTTTTCAGCCACAGTGGCCTGATGTAAGCAACTCTTTCAAGTGACTAGTGAGACCTTTTATCTTCCTGCTGCCAGAGGAGCTGGGAAGCGGCTGCTCTTGACATCCTGCTCCAAGGCAGGACACATTTTTCCCACAGAAAGCGATCTTGCAGATGGTGGCAAGACGAGCTGCCACTCTTCAGGAACTAGCTACTATTTATTTTTCCACTGCTTTATTTTGATCCACATCTGTTTCATATATGTTGTAGCTTGCCCCCAGGGGAACCTTATGGAACAGGCTTCTGAGTAAAAGCCCTAATGTTGACATCTCAGCCCTTACTCTTCCAACAGTGCACCTGGGAACACCTTCCATCCTGCTGAACAACATTCCTACATGGGCAAATGGGAAGAAGCAGAACTAAGCAGGAGACAGGAAGCTAGGGCTTCCTCTGGTACTTTCAAGGTGACACTTTTAGAGTATTACATTAAAAGACTGTAAAAGAGAGGCTTCACTGTGAAACTAGACCTTGAGATTCCAATCAGAGGCAAAAGCATGGAATCCCTGCATGAGTTCAGTCTTCTACAGATCAAATTTGCCTTCTACCTTTCCATGGCTTTAAATTTTTGTTTGGAGCAAGGCACCAGTGGTTCACGCCTGTAATCCTAGCTACTCAGGAGGCTAGGATCTGAGGATCGGTGTTCAAAGGAGCCCAGGGAGAGAAATTTGAGAGACTCATCACCAATTCACCACCAAAAAGCCAGCCACAGAGCTGTGGTCAAGTGCTAGAGCACTAGCCTTGAGCAAAAGCTCAGGGAGAGAGCCCAGGCCCTGAGTTCAACAATAATTTTGTTTTGGTTCAAATGAAATGGATGGGTTGGACATATATTTCAGCTAAAGAATAAATACAAACATTTTCAGAAGCAGAAATAGACAAAGTAGAAATAATATATTCAATCTAAAAACACATATGCTTTATTTCCGTACATTCTTAGGAGTATGTTAATCAATATTTTAAATGACTCATTTCAGTTCAACAAGCACAATCATGATTGTTACAATAATCTAAAGTTATATTTTAATTTTTTAAAGAGAAATTACATGTGTTCATGTGGCAGAACACTGGCCCAGCACATGCCAGTTCTGATAGACAGAACTTAAAAAGAAAAGCCACCAACCACCAATGGTTCATATTTGCAATACTAGCTACTCAGGAGACTCAGATCTGAAGATCTAAGATCTGAAGCCAACCCAGGCAGGAAAGTCCATGAGACTTTATATCTGATTAACCACCAGAAAGCTGGAAGTGGAGCTATGTGTGGCTCAAGTGGTAGAGCACTAGCATTGAAAACCAAAGCTCAATGACATCATCCTGGCACTGAGTTCAAGTCCTAGGACTAGCATGCTTGCCTGTGCGTGCGTGCAAGTTAATGCGCACATGCGCACGCGCGCGCGCACACACACACACACACACACACACAGAGAAAAGGGAAGATTGCTATGAATACTCTCGGTTAAAAAAAATAAAAGAGGTAAAGGCCCCGAGCTTCACCCAGCTCACCACAGAAGTGATAGAGAACACAGTTTCCTCTATCAAAGGGCGTTTGAAGTGAAGACTGCCACTGGACCAAAGGTTCACCTGTACAACTTAATCTGAAATGCTGATGTGAAGGTAAGACTTCAAAAAACAAGCAAAACTTTAAAAAACACAATAAAGAGAAATTCACAAAAAAAAAAAAAATCCTAGCTCTTACCCAGGCCCGTCCACTTTGATTATCATCCACTGGCCAGAATGAATTTGCTTGATAAAACCTAGTTTTTTTCTCTATTTTACAGTGAAAAGCTGTCAAACATTGTGGCCAATTTCAATGCTGACACATTTAATTTACCAGAATATTCTATTTAAAAGCCTGCCAAGAATTCTAATGTAGAGATATTAGTATGATTCTATTATGAAGACATAGACCTAGTCTGACAGAACCTTTAGTTAGCAAATCCTGCACTCATCTTAAAAACATCTAATAAGATACTCAAATGTTGATTTTTGATTATGCCACTACCTATGTGAGTGTGAAATACACAGTTAAAACAATGCTAATGGTCAAAGAATCATCAAAAAATGCTTCATCATAACTTCCACAGTGGGTGGTCTGTAAAA